GTATGTTCAGGGGCTGATGTGTTTTATTTCAGAAGCTTTTGACCCATTATTTACAGGAGTTTGAGGCACTCACATCTTACAGGATCCAGTAGGTACATTTCCATTTAACCCTGCCTCCATTTTCAAGCACAGTTTGCTCTGGCTGATGGGCAGCATCCCCTGCACAGCTAGGGAGATCAGCAGGAGTTAGATACCTCATCCCCTCTGCAGTTCAGATGTAGGGGAGGAGGTGATTGTACTCACCATCACTGTGGTGGACCCATACTCATTGGGTTGAGGCCAGGTAAAGCCAGTAGGAGGCAGAGCCTGTTTCTTTTGTGCTAAGAGCTCTTGTCACAGGGACTCTGCCTCAGAAAGGTGGGGGAATGGGACTAAATTTCTCCATAATGTCAGGCAGTTTTGTACTTCCCTCACAAAAGTTACAAGTAGTATAACAAGGGCCAATTTCCATATCCTGCTTGGGAGCTCAGGCCAGAAACCAGGAGATTTCTGATTCCTCTAGGAAGGGAGGATAACTTTGGCACAGGCTGACCAGGGAGGCGGCAGAATCTCCGTCCTTGGAAAATCTCAGAAACTGGCTGGACAGAGCTGTGGCTGATCTGTTGTTAGCAGTAATCCTGCTCAGGGTAGCTGGGTTGAAGACTTCCAGAGGTCACTTCCAATCAGTCTTTCTCAGGAGAATGCCCAAACCACCTATGGTTATGCTCTCAACTGTTACAGTGTTGTGTGGTTCTCAGAATAACAGCATGTAAGAGAGGGTAGAAGTGGGGTTTCTGTGTTCTGAGCCTTGCTTTAGGGATCACTTATTCAAGTTCTGTTTAGATGAGGATCTTTTCACCAGACTGATCCTACACCCAGTTGGCTTTGAAGTTAGACTTGCTCTTTCTCCTATGCTGGACTCAAGAACCTGGCATTTCTGAGCCTCCCATTGTTCCATGAGGGCTGTAGCATTTCTGTGGGACAACAGGAATCTCCTGCAGCATGTGCAGGGGCACCCTGACTACTCTCCAGCTTAGTTGGTCCAGTTTCTGGCAAGTTCAGTTTATCTAACCTGCTCAGTTAGAATATGCTGCTGCCTCAAAGTCTTGTAGCTGGATAGAGACTGTGGCTGGGTGATATTGCTTGAGAGTGCTTTTGCTCTGGTTGCATGATCAGACTCAGATCTCAAATGCCTCTGTTTCCTCAAAGTGGACTATGTGCTACGAAAGTGTCACTTGTGGTGTCATCTAGGTTTCAGACAATGCAGAATGCAACCTCCAGGCCTTTTGGCTGGAGTGTGTGGTGAAGCCTTACCCAGTCCTGGCATGAGCAGCTGTCTGGACACTGTTTTGATTTAACCTGACTAATTAGCTTTGACCTCTGATCCCACAAAACCTGTAGTTCAGGACTGTCCATATGCTTACGTTGGTCAAATTTCATGTTCCTACACTTTTTTCCTTGACTATGCTGCAGAGCTGGACCTGCTGAGCCATGCAGTCACCATGAAGTCACATTTGGCATGTGAGACTTGCTGCTAACAGTGGGACTGCACTTTAACACTTAGAATGTATTCTCTGGGTTTGAGCTATAGGATAAGTCAAAGACAATATGCTATAAGCCTAAAACCTGCAGTCTCCATCTTTCCTATGGTAGAGCTGCATTGGCATGGGTGATGTTTATTGCCAGTCTCACAGACTGGACAGCTCACTGCTGACTTGTCTGAACTGCTTATTTGTGCTGTCACTGCTGCAGCTGCTGCTGGGAGTACCAAGATAAACACTGGCAGTGTTTGTCATGAGGACATGGTGCTGGCACACATCTCTGTCACTTCATGGACGTCTGTCCTTCTTGGCCTCCTTGTCACCATTGTCTCAGCAGCAGGAGCCAGGTCTCCTCTCCATCAAGGTGTAGATGTACTTCTAGGCTGCTCTCTGATTACCATTTACCAGATAATGAAAGTACACTGAAGCATTTGAGAGAGGTGTCACTGTTTAATGCACACACAGAAGGAAAGAAGGAAGGAAAGGAAGGAAAGGACGGAAGGAAGGAAGGAAGGAAAGGAAAGGAAGGAAAGGAAGGAAGGAAGGAAAGGAAAGGAAAGGAAGGAAGGAAGGGAGGAAGGAAGGAAGGAAGGAAGGAAGGAACCAAGGAACCAAGGAACCAAGGAACCAAGGAACCAAGGAACCAAGGAACCAAGGAACCAAAGAACCCAGGGGATTCTATCCAGCTGCTTCCATCCAAGGGTGCTCCATCCATGGATGCAGCTGCTGAGTCCCTGTTGACAGCATTCTGCTGCAGGGTACCTCCCATTTTTCCAGAGTCCAGAGGGATACACTCTTGACCAGCCACTAAATGCAGTTAATTGCTGGAGTGCTCCCTCTGGCTTTTCCTTCAGGGCTGGTGTTAGGCAGCAAATGTACCACTGTATTTTAGGTTGAACAGCTCTCTCTGGGGTCTCTTGGAGCCTGGGGCACACAAATCCATGCTGCTTTCTTTTTGCACATGTTCCTGAGGTGTTGCTATCATGCAGCCTCCCTTTGGTTGCCCCTTCCAGCACAGGTCTCTCATGCATGAGGTGGAAGAGAGCCACACAGCAGCATGGTGAGCATACTGTGGGAGCTCCAGGCACTGGGTTCACTGTCTGTTCGTGTAAATGTTGTGTTTGGACATCCTCAGAGTGGCATGTCCTTCACTGCAGCACTCCAGCTGCCCTGGGTGTTCATCAGTTGCCTTGCCAGTCAGTGGGAGACATATCCCAGGGCAGAGAGAGGGGATTCATGCAGCTCAGGGCTGTGGCTGAGCCCTGGGTCAGGTACAGAGCATCCTTCTCCCCCACTGTGGGGCCTTGCTGGCCCCCACTACCTTTCTGAGGGGGAATGCTATCAAGAGCAGGCTTTCTTTGCCAGTCTGTGGCAGTTTTAGCACTTCCATCATTGAAAAGCTCTGGTGAGAGGAGGTATGGGCCTTCTCATGGGGTGGGACTGTGGCTAAGCATTTACCCAGCATCCAGGCAGGGTCTGTGGGTAGGGGACCTGTGTGAAGGAAGGCAGTTCATCAATGGGAAAACAGGTCTTAAAAGCAAAAAGGCAGTTTGAAAGCTGACTAAAGGGCAAACAAAGCAGGGACCATAGTTAAATTACAATAAACTGCTCCCAAAACTGTTTGCCAGCTCATCCTCAGAGCATGGTGATCAATGGTCCCTTGTCCAAGAGGAGTTTGTACTGCAGGGAATCCTGCAGTGATCTGCCCGAGAATCCATTCTAGGCAGTATTTCCACTGATGAATGGCATGTTGACATTGAAAGCACTTATTCAAACAATAACTTTGAACTGGAGCTGGGAGAGAACATGGTGTTCTCTCCTGCACAGAACAGGCTCAGAATTCACAATCACCCTGGAATAGGAGGATGCTGTTCAGTAAAGATGCATTTAAGATCAGAGATTTCAACAGAAATAATTAAGTGGCAAAGACAGGCAATGGAACAGTTTACAGACGAAGACATTGGGGCTCTGGAGGATCTGAAGTTGAGTATGAGCCAGCAGTGTTGTGCTAGTACAAACCAGCCAGCATTTTCCATTGTATAAATAGGAGTGTTGTCTGTGAGGCATGAGGTAAGCCTCCAGCTTTACAAGGAAATTATAAAGGCTCAGCTGGAATATTTTATCTTGTTTGGACGCTACACTTCAGGAAATATGTGAGTCAGTTGGATAAAGCCCAGAAGAGAGTAGCAAAAGTGATGGAAGATGTGGAAAACATAGCCTGTGGGTAAATGCTGAGAGATTGTGGGTGTCTGCCCTTAGAAAGCAAAGATGTGGACAGGGTCATGAAAGCAGGCCTGAAGTGCATAAAATGTCGTTAGGGAGAAGACTGTTTGCAATGCCTGTCATCACTAGAAGATTTCAATTTCAATTTGGATTTCAATTTTGATTTTCATCACTAGAACACATTTCAGTTGCAACCAGGACAACTAACCCTTCGAAGCTCTCTTGGAAGTGAAGTGTGGGAGTACAGAGTTGCCTGGGAGTCTGTATCACTGGAGCAGGTTATGCAAAACCATGGAAATTCACATTGGCCTTCTCTGGGGTAGAGTAGGGACAGTATGACTTCTTGAAATCCCTGTCAGGCCTGTTTTTTCAGTCTGTAAAGCCTAAACTATGTGAAAAATATTTATCAATGTAGAAACTGACAAATGCCTGGGACTGAATGGAAGCTGCTCTTTATTTGGTGTCTTTGTATTTCCTCAGCTTTTACAATCATCACATCTAACCAGGCTCTTGTCACTCATCTGCTGGCTTGCTTTTTTTGGTTGTCTGAGTCAAAGAATCTTAATATGAGTTCAGAGGAACATTTCATTTGTGCTTTTCATTTGCAGCTGAGCTGAATCTTCCCACTGTGTTTTGGGGCAGGTCCTGCTCCTCTGTGGACTGTCCTGCTCTCAAGCTCTGCAGGGAAAGGCAGGATCAGCCAGGAATGTCACCAGGCAGCAGCAGAGGGTGGGCTCCACACCACAGGATCTGCTGGGGTGGGTGCATGGCTGGGAGCAAGGGGGGTGCAGCCTTTGAAGAAGGTCAGCAAGCTGAAGCTGTACAATGTTTGGTGTGGTGGAGCTCTGTGCTGCTCCCTAGATGAACTCTGTAGTTCTCTGTAGTTCTGTGCCCAGTTCTCTGTAGTTCTGTGCCCTCCTCCTAAAGGCAAGAGGTGTTGGTGACCTGTCTGTTCAATAGCTTGTCTTTCTGACCATGCCTGGTCATCTTCTCTGCCTCGGTGCAGAAACTTTTTTTGGGTTAAATTGTTTTATTGCTCTTAGTGCTTGAATATTCAGAAGTGATAATGCAAGTATCCACTCATTTTCCTGGGAAGGGGAAATGGGATTTTAGGGGCAAGTAAGATGTTGATTCTTCTGAGCTTTCAAAATACAGCAGAAGCCTCCCTTCCTGTGAGGCATTACTATTATTGTCACCATTGTTTCCTGTGGTTAATGTCCTTCCACACTGGGATTATCTGCCTTGGTTATACATCTTGACCCTGAGATGAGCTCAGTTGATCAGAGCAGGGTGCTAATAATGCCAGGGTTGTGGGTTTGATCCCCATTTGGGCCATTCACCTAAGTCTAATTCCATAATCCTTCTGGGTCCCTTCCAGCTCAGACTATTTTGTGATTTTGTGATCTTATCTGACTGTAACAGTATTTCCACAGTGTGTTGTTGTGTGGTCTAATTTTCATTGTCTTTACAGGAAAAAACAGAAGGAATTGGTTCTTAACTAGATAGAAATCTATGAGACAGTGTTCTTATGTGGAAGAAAAATGTTAGGAAAATCAGTAATGATGAAGGAATTGGGATGACCCTGGAACAAACAGATGTGCAGAGGTGACAAACAGCACATTCCTGTCTTTCTCCACTTGATATCCCACCAGATAAACACTCCACATTTATCATTCCTTGAAGCAGGTTCAATCTTGAAACCATTGTAAGGCCCTCTGAGCTGTATACAGTCTGCACAATGAAGCCCAAGACAATTTCAGTGTACCCAAAGTTTTCTGAGCATGACCTTGCTGCAGGAAGGTTGAGTCTGCACCAGTGACATTACAGCTGGGTGCCTGGCACCTGCCTTGTGCAACATCCAGAGACATCCCTGCTTGCCATGTCAAAACACAGGAAAGAGTGCCCAGAATGCACAGCCACTACGTGGTTAACCAGTTACTCAGTGTCTGTAGGAGGGGTTTGCAATTGTGTGTGGGTGGTAGATTCAGCAGGAAAATATTTCATTATGCTGAAGAAATTCTCTGATGGGCTGCAGCTGCAATACCTCTTGCATTAGTCAAACAATAGCACTCCAGCTACCTTGCCCATCACATTAAAAATGACTTATGTACTTGTGACACCAGTATTTGTGTGGCTTACTGCCACCTTGCTTTCACAGCTGAGCCCAACCTTACGTGCTGTGTTCTTATTTCCAGCCTTTTCTTGTCTTTTATTTAAGGTCCTTCCCATTTACTAAACAGCATTTTATCTCCTGGAAAGCACGACTTCTGCTTTCCTGTTATCTTGATCCTAATTAGGGTCCATATATTCTTATCATCACAAACATCATTAGTAAAATGGCACCTGCAACAGTAAGTTCTGGGGCAGTCCTGAAATATGTGGCTGAAAAGTAATTTCCTTGAAAGGTCTCTGAGTTGAGGGGTTTTATTCATGGCTCACCAGCTACAGTCAATTCCTACTCCAACTTATGAACTGCAGCTCAAAGAGTAAGTCCTCTGTGGAGACACCAAAGAGATGTCAAACATTTTTATTACATGTTTTTTCTCATACAGTTAAAATGTTTCAGGGACAATTTCCCTCTGATACAGGATGCCCTAGTAAAGGGTGGTATAGGAACCTGCCTTGGTAAAGTGGCTTAAAACCTGGAAAAACAAAGCGTGTCTCAGAAAGTGCTGGAAATAGCATTATTATCACTGCTAAGCCTGCAGTAAAGGGCTCACTTTTGTCACATGCTGTTTGCAAAAGGAGGGGCATGGTAGATACCCCAGTAATCATTTTGAAAGATCAAGTGAGAGCTCTTGTCAGCAGCTTTTCCCGTGCTGTAGAGGTGGCAACAAGCACCTCTCCATTCAACACGTGGACAGAACAATTCAGGAACTCCTGGATGGTGCCTGTCTCCATGGTGTGTCTTTCAAGACTGAGGTCAAGAGCTGTTTGGCAGCCTCAGTCTCTCCTTTATTGAACTGCCTGGGGGATGGAAGTGGATTTCAGCTCTGACACCGCAACTCCTGCTGAACAAGTTCATGTGCTGCCTGGTATTCTGCTTTCAGCGCTTGTGTGCTTGACTCTCATGTTGGATGCAGGTGCAGAGGGGTTTGCATTGGTCAGTTCTGCCTGTTTTTTTGTCTCTTTTTGTTAGGTATAAAGAGGGAGGTAAAGGCCACAGTCCTGGGAGGCCCATGGAGGAGTGTGTTGCAGTCCAGAGGCTTATCCCTGGGCTGGTGGTTTGGACATTTTGGGATGATACTGATACAGGTGACTCATCCAGGATTCAGAACTTCAGGGCTCAGTGGACCAAAATGTGGGAGCACAAAGATGAAGAAGCTGCTGTGTTGAATCAGGAGAGTCCACAGCTTTTGGTCTGCAGGAGGTCAGGGCTGGTGTGAGTGAGTTCTGTGAACTGATGCAGAGGTGAGACCTCCTCCTTCCAGTGAAACACAATCTTATGCTACACATCCTCTATAGAACAGAAGGGAAAATATTTTCATTGCACTCTCATTCACCTACTCTTTCTGCTTCAAAAGTTCTGAATGGTTCACACCAGTCCCAGGGCATTGTAAATAATGTTCCCTCCTTACATGCCCAAACCCCCACACTCCCTTGGTCATTCCTCTGGGATTTTTTCTACCACACACAATATCAAGAAATAAAGTGCTATGAAAACTTTGCCAGTTCATCACAAATGAGGGGAAGATCTTAGCCAGAAAGGTGTCATTAGGTGCAAGTCCCCCGACAGTTCTGTGCTCCTGGCTGGGGAGTTGAGGTTCAGAGCGTGGTGGCTCCAGGCAGATGGGAGGGCTGGGCTGGGAGTGCTTGCTGTTAAAGAAAACCTGTTTCCAAAGCAGGGCTGATTGCCCTCCCTCTGAATCACAGGGCCAAGCAATCATTACCCTTTGGGGAGCCATGGACAGGCCACAGACCTTGCTGAGAGCCTATGGAGATGCAGTGGAGAAGCATAGAAAGGTTATGGAGGGTTTGCAAACTGTCTGCAAGGTGTTTGCTGCCTGCCATTGGCAAGAGTCAAGTGAATCCCAAAGGGAGGAGTTAAAACTGTGGGCCTGTTCTACCCTTCTGCAGATGTGACTTCCAGTTCTGCTTGTTTTCAGCATCAGTTTGGGAGAAGTTTTCAGGGTTTCTTCTTGTGGCATTGAGGGGGGACATGTTCTGTTGCTGTTCTTCATCCCTGTCTGTGCACCTTCATCCTTGGCCTGTGCAGCCTGCACAGCTTCATGTTATTCAGGGCAGAAACTGGGTTTGGAGCTGCTCAGCATCACAGATTTATTGCTGTTAAAGCTGAAATAAACTCCAAACCTATTTATAAAGATGTGAGTTAGCACCAGTAGCTGGGTGACAAAGGGCAGGTGCTCCAGATCCTTAAGATCAGGAGAGGTTTCTGCACAGTAAGCAGCCTCAGTAGGTCCACTGGCTTGATCTGTCCCATTCATGCAGTTTAGACAATGAAACATTGAAGCATTTAGCTCCAAAAATAGAACTACACATGACAGCATGCTGAGGTACTAAATCCATTCCTGAAAGGAATATAAGCACATTTGTGAGGGAGTGTGCTGGTACATAAAACCCCGGCTGATGATGTATGTTCAAACTGGAAAGCAGCTCCTTCGACCTTAGAGTGCTGCTGAATTAATGGATTACAAGAATTGTCTGCTTCAGGATCTTCTCAGAAGCTGTGTTTCTTGACTAACACAACTAACCCAGAGTGTGTGGCTCTGTGACACATCATGCCATTTCTCATTCTGCCAAACAGGAGTGAACTTGCTTTCCCCAAACACCACAGGTTTCCACTTTTCCTCTTGTAGGAAATGTTTCACCACTTCTGTGATAACCCTCTCTGGTTGTGTTGGCCACTAAAGCTTGGATCTTGTAACTGTTTTCCTTCTACTACGTCATTTCAGTTTTAACAAGTGGTTTTCTCCTGCCTCACTGTTCACTAACAAAATTCCACAGAACCACAAATGGTTTGGATTGGAAGGGATCTCGTGCCAGCTCCCTGCAGGGGACACGTTCCACTAGACCAGATGGCTCCTAGCCCTGGCCTTGGGTATCTCTCAGGGCTGCACTAATTCTTTTTGTTCACAGTCCTCCTTCACAGTCAAGAATTGTCTGCAGTTGTCTGCTGGGTCATCTCTCTCAAAGAAACTCTGGTTATGCCTTCCCCACTCTGCCTAAATGGTCTAATTAACATGTGGCTGATAAGGGAGGACAGAACTTGTTGGTGTTGGTCTGCCAGTGCTAAATTGCACCCAGAGTACAAGGCTTTAGCTTGACTGGGGAAAACTGTGTGGGATATAAAACCTAGGCCAACATGGAATCTATTCCTAAAAGCCATGATCACTGTTCTACCACAGGGTCACAAGTAGCCTTCTGATTTTCCAAGCACCAGGATTGAAGGCTCTGTGTGAAACTCCCAGACAAGACTCTGCCTTGGCTGGATCAGACAGTGCATTATCTCTCAACAGGCCTTCTCTGTGTGTCTGTAAAAAAAGTCATCCCCCCACTCACTTCTAATCCCCACTCTCACTTCTAATCATGACTAAGCTGCAGAGAAATTTGTAATGTCACAGTTTTACCTTGGTAAATGTAGTTGCTTCCAGTAGATGGCATTCCAGCAATGCAGTCCTGATCCAGATTAGTTCCTATCCCTACTTGATCTGCCAGAATAATCCCTGCACAGAAGTGCACTTTTTTCCCTCCTAAAGCTCAAAATAAATGCAGTTTAAAAACTCTTGTCCATTTCCTACCCAATTAAATATATTTTTTCTATTTAATGCATTTTATAGCATTGGGGTTTTTTTATTTTTCAATGTACTTAACTCCAAAGTCATTTTATTTTGGAAAATGTGTCAAGACACTGAATGTTTTGGCTTGCATTCACAAATCTGCTAACCACTGGACACTGCTCTTTCATGTGTGAATTTTCTGCCCTCAAGTTATGTGTCTGGGTCCTTTGTGGCAGGGAGGAATGAGGCACTGCACAGCAGTTCCACAACAGCCAGCAGGCAAAGCAGAGACCAGTTACAATTAGCAGCTGGTAATTTTCACAGAATCACAGAACATTCTGAGTTGGAAGGGGCCCACAAGGATCACTGAGTCCCACTCTTGAGTGAATGGCCCATCCAGGGATCAAACCCACAACCTTCATTTATAAACACTGTGTTCTGGCTAACTGAGCTATGTCTCTTTAACCAATTAATTACATTTTATATATATTTGGTAGGTTTTTAGGTACATTCCTCTGTAGGGTCTCAAAAATGCTGGAGACAGATATGCTTGTGTGAAATCCCCAAGCCAAACATGAAGGTAACTTGTTTTACTGC